CTCTCCATAGCTATGGGTTTCGCTGCTTTTTCCATGCAACCTTTAAGAAGTTCCAGTGAAAGTGATGATTCCTATGATTCCCATGGGAGTGATTCCCATGATCCCCTGAGTCAGCACATGGAATCTGGGAGTAGTTCAGGAGATCTGAGTCGAGGCACCGCGTGCAAGCCTGACTAGCTAGTTGACTTGTAGGCAGTGTACACGATTGCTGCAGGCGGGCGACCTTGCCCACTGCTTTTGAAGGCAAACTGTGCACGAAGCCGTGGATCCTGATTCCTGCCCTGAGCGGGAAGAATTGGTCCACAGATGCAGTAGCATGCTACTTTCGCTGCTCAAAAATGCATGGGAACGGAGCTTAAATGTGATGATACCCTGGTGCCGTTCCCGGCGTTCGCCCACGCTGCCGCTGCCTTGATGCCAGTGTTTTGTCGAGTCAACTAGCTAGGAAAGCTGTTTCATGCGCCATCCCGCGACGAAGATCTTCTTTACTACTGCCGGACTTTTTTTACAAACTAACTCATACGGTTTACTGGTATTAATTCATTCAGTGAAACGTTCAGATTGTTGCTCTCCTAAATGTGGAGAATGTGGACGAAGCGATCGAGTTGAGAGAAGCGACGAGGACTTCGCCTATAGCCCGCATGCTGTCGGCAAATGACACTATCAAAGTGCTTGAGCTCAGAGTTGATTTACCAGCTGCAGTGATACAGAAACTAGAGTTTTAAAGTGCCAATGGTATTTGAATCTGTCTTCTCCAAAGAAAAATTCAGCTGAATAGCTTTCCAATCTGTTTTTGTTATTCTCTTTAATATTTATTTTTCGGCAGAAATTGTGCATGATTAAGTGTAAATAAGGTTCCAGTTACTTATGGTGGGCAGATACTGATGATACAACGGATTACGGTTTGTGTTAACATTTGACTGTGATGATAAAGATGCATACTTCTTTGTTGGTGCTGAAGGTTTTCTGAGGTATTCCGTGGAAATGCCAGGGTTAGAGAGGGTAAATTTTTGCAGAAAAAAACGTTGAGCATTTAGAAACTACCTCATCTTGTTTGGTGGACGGAATAAGCGGTGAACTATGGAAACGGTGCATCGCCGATCGGAACGGAGTAGGTGCAGGTGCGTTGCGTTCACGAATGATGACAGAGCACTTGAAGTCTGCCCAGTTTGGATGCCGGTCGGTCCACATTGCGGCGATACGCAGAGGCTGGTGGGATTTTCTTGCTGGTTAACAGCAGCATAACCACGTAAAGGTGTTTCTTGGTGCGAATGTCGCGTGCGCGACTGCACCTGTGACGCCGTGTCACGGCAGCGAGGATCTGTCACCGACCACTTTTCTTTTTGCCAAAGCCAAGAGAGTTCCTAATGAGGCCAGCTACTTTTGCTAGCGTCTGCTTCTTATGTGCTTCGAGGTGCTGAGGAGGAGAGAGACCACGCAGGGGATCCGGTACTTTTTTCACTATAGATTCTTTTTATTAGTGTTTGCCTGGGATTCCAAACAAATGGGTAAAGAAAATGTTGCTGGAAAGATCTTCAACGGGGATAAGAATAACTATACTCGTAAAATTCTTTTGCGAACCAGGAGCTTCCTGTATTCGAGGGTTCTCAAAGCTTCCATCAGGAACAAATACTTTGAACTTTCCACCCTCGAAACACGTCGGATGGTTGCGGATGTGTGCATGGTTTACAAGCTCATGTACGGGTCTAAAAGGGTCAAATCCTTCTCAATTTGTTTGAAATCCAGCATTCACGGACCAGAGGGGTGGGGCAGGCTAAATTCTCTTCGGCCTGTCCGAGAACCAGAGTTTAGAGCCGCCGTACCTTACTCATTCATGAGCCCGCAGCACATGATAAGAGGCACAAAGAACTTTAGCTTGTTCAACACTGTACAGGATTGTAGCTGCACAGCTACTTAGTTATGGAACATCATAGTTGTTTGAGACTGACTTTAGAATTTCCTAACTTGACCAGTAATTGAATAGTCTAGTCTCGGATCGTTGCCAGCTCGAGTCGCATCATTCCACTTTATTGAATTGATATTTTCTTGATATACTAGCAAGCGTATTTTCCTTTGGTGTGTCGTTGTCTTTTGACTATTTTCAATGGTTTTCTTTCGTCATTCTCTGTTTGTTCTACTCTCACGTTTGCTGAAGTGATGCAGAAGTTAATTAAAAGTCCACGTAACAGTGGTAGGTTAGCATGGGGGGGGTTATTCGTCAGTTCGAGGCATGGGAATCGAGGCCGGGGCGACTCCGTATTTTTCTGGAAGTGAGTCATAACGCCGATGGCGCTGCCCTGTGGCGCGACACCTCTCCTTCAGAAGGTGCCCTTATATAGCGCCTATCAAGCTGCCACACATATCGAACCAACGGCTGCCAAACCCGCGCCGCCCGCCCGCAAATGTCGGCCGACGCTCGGTGCGTATCCCTTCATTGCCGAAATATACAATTGACTCGCAAAAGAGACTGCATATGCAAGCGTGGCTGCGGCTGCCTGCATGCGAACCCCCTGAGGCCCGTAGCGATTTTGCACGAATGCCAAGCGGGAAAATCCGAAACTACTTCTTGAATTCGCTTGTTAGAGAGAAATTCGGCTTTTCCGCAGGTTTTTGACCTTCTTTACTTCCGCATAGTTTCGTTGGAAGTATCTCTAGGCTTTTTGCCTCTTCCTTACGCAAGCACAGCATCCACTGACCGCTACCAATCAATTGGCAGAATCAGAACTCTGAAGCACACTGTCTCATTCTAGCTCTTTTTTAGGTGTCCTGTCCACATTCGCTAGGTAAGTCTAGGGACCGCATCCCCTTCCGCAGCAATTCTGCTGTTCGACATAGTGCGCCCTGTCGGCCTTTCGTTGTGCAGCCAGAGATAGGAAAACATTCCAAGGTTGTCGGTCGCAAATTGTAGACTCTATAAGATATTAAAAATAAAAAAATGGAGGCCCTCCTAAATGAGCCCTAGCAACCATGCTAAATAATGTCTCCAATGTACATATACCTGAGGTATGCGAGTCTGGAACGCCCGAGAACGGCGCCGTTCAACCTCCAGATTGCTTCACGATCCCTATTCTTTTGCCCTAACTGTTATATTGACAAATTTTCAAGCATGGCCGAACGCTGGATTTTCTACGATCAATTATTTCTGCTCGCTCAGACTCTGTTCTCCTGCTAAAGTACTCGACCAAGCTGGAATAAAATAATGATTTTCGCTTTAATCAGATGTGTGTGCCATAGGAAACATAGGGAGATCAACCCACCCGCGAGCAACTTCTGCTCTGGTCTTATGTCACACGCTCAAGTTCCAGACAGCATTAGAATACCGCAAATCGACTTTTTTTTGTTCAAGTGTAAGCTACATGAAGAGCTACATCAACAAAGGAGTAAAAACGTCAACCGAATCCTCATAGAACTTCCAAGCTCACCATCATATTGGACCAACGGCGCTCTGTACTTTTCGGCCCGGAATTTATGATTTTGTTGTTAAACTCGCCTGGCCCTGGAGCAGTGAGGATTGCCATGCCCTGAAAAATCTAGTCATGCAAACGACCAGCACATGGAAAGCATCGTGAGGGGGCGAGCCTGTCGTCGGTGCGTGTTTTGCGAGAATCGCTCATTTATTCCATCGATAGAGAAGAGATAATCAGCTGCAAAAAGGTTTCTCACCCTATCTTCTGGTGGTCCCGACGAATATGTCTGAATTTCATACACATTCATACCGACGGCTGTTTTCAAGAAGTCATCTAGCCAAGCGTCTGAAACACGAAAATTTCTGCTACAGACGCGGCTCTGCAACGTGAAGACGGACCTCCTACATCGGTTCCACCTGATCCACCGCTTCCTGATTCATCGTTTCCATGAGGAGGCTTGACGTCGGTTCCTGATTCATCGTTTCCGTGAGGAGGCTCCTTGACTTCTGTTGTCGTCGTAGGTGATTGTGTCGTAGGAGGTGGTGGTGACTCGACAAACGGTGTACTGATCGTACTTTCTTGGTTCTGGTTGAAAGAGGCCGAGTCGTCCAGAAGGCTGACGAAGACGGCGATAACGAATAGAATCATAGCATTGCAATGAGTGTCGAATGATGCATACCATGGCTGAGCACTTTTATGTGGTTCTGAATCACTATCAAACTTTTCTTCATTCGGTGGGGCTTAGATAGAAAGTGCAGTCATGTCTGATTATGGCAGACGATGAGGAAAAAGGCATTCCTTTGAAGGAATGCAGAATGCTTCCGTATCTTTCTATCTCATACCTTTTTGGACACGCCGTGCATTCGACGTGCTTTCTGGTTGTCAAATGATCTGGGCCATAAAAGTGCTGACGAATGTGAATCAGGACTGGGAGTTCCTGGCAGAAGTTTCTGATGTCCGTCAGCAACAAATTACTCCATCTTGTGGACTGAGAACATCAATGCGGCGCCTTTTACTATTGCACCAGCCGTTCAATCAAAGGAGCGGTGCGCGACGACTTATGAAAATGCAAGTGGTCCTATATGGAGGAAAACAGTAGTGTGCAACGGTCCAATACGGGACAGTCGCTCGTCCCGCGCGCCCCTTATGTTGTGCCAGTTTCTCAGTGGAAAGTTGTACGGTAAAGGAATTAAGGCGCAAAGTTGCTTCAAGTACATCACTTTTTCCAGTGACTCCGCCTCCAAAGTCGGCTTTCATTACTGGGAATCAGCCGACGGGAATCGTCCCAGCGCGCGGTCTCTTCGATCTTTCACCTCTACAGTTGTATGAGGCTAGAGGAGGCCTGAAGAATGCGCTTCCAAGGTACCCTTCGGCATTTTCTTTTCATAGACGGCTCACTTGGCGAATTTTCTCCCACAATTCTGGCAACATTCCACCTAGACTGTTTAAATGGCCGGACTGCTTGCCTTAAGTGTGCTGACATTGCAGCTCACCATTAATATGGGGGAAGGAGGGACAGAAAGGATTTTATCGGTTCACTCAAAAGAAGGTGAGTCTGGTAAAAGGCGCAGTACTGTGACAACACCGGTTGGGAAACACTAGAACAAGTAGAACGCGCCGAACGATTCCGCACATACAGTGGCCAGGTTTTTGCGCCTCACGAAATATACGGTTCAGCCAAGGAAGCGCTGGAAGCCTTGGGATTGGACGATGAAGGTGCACGTCCTCAATAACTACAGCAACAGCGGATATATACTCATCTCGCTTAGCTGACGGTTCATAGTTTCGCCCCGGCAGCGGAATCGGCCAGGTATCCGCCAGCGACCAGGAGTAGAGAGTTCGGGAAAGTAGGAGGAACTAGACAGCTGGATCACGCTCGTAATATTGCTGCGTGTGCAGCCGCACGGTACTACTACCTGATAGCGTAGTCCTCGTCACTGGTGGCCCTTACCTTTTTTCTCTTTATCATTTGTCTTTACCTTACCCTTTTCTTAATCATATGTCTTTAAATAGTACATATGATGCAGGCTATCCGCAATTTGTCGCACCAATTGATTCAGTGCAACCAAGGCACCAATTCTTCTTTTTCGAGGTTGGAGGAAGGTCCACGACTTCTTGCTGGGCGATGCTTAAAATAATATCCTCACGCATGTGTGATTCAGAGACGTATCAAGAACTTGAACACGCGAAAGAAAAATCTGTCAATGAACATTGAAAAAAATGACCCGTGCGCGATCCCGCTTCGGGTCTCGTCCGTCGAGGTAATGCCCTTCTCCGTGCAGTACTTTGAAAGTTTTGAATATAGAATGGGTCATCTTGGAAGACCACTAAAGGTTCCAACTTTTAAACGGATTTTAAGACAGATCTGGAACCAATTCACCGTCCTCTGAGTATAGAAGGCTTGGTCCGCCCAGGAGGGACCCAGCACATGTGCTTGGTAAGTGGGCCTTTTGCCACTTTACCACCCCAAAGAAAGGTATATTAGAAATTATTTATACTATGGAACAAGACATATTTTCGGAACTGAATGAAGTGTAAGTACAAGTTGTGAGAGAGCAGGACAGTCATCTTGAACAAGTACACCCACATAATAATCCTGCACATAACGAGACAATCGGCAACAAGAAATCATCAATCAATAGATGGTGCTATAAGCACCTACATGAATAGTTGCTCACTGAAGCAACTCGAAGTTGATGTCGGCAACAGGGAGTATGAACTCGCTAGCCATTTATGGCAAGGTATTCATGCTCACTGGATCGTCGGAATGGTACTTGTCACGGCAGATACCACGTACGGCAACCTGGTGTGGTGGACAGGAGGTTTCACATCTCTTCACGATACGTTCGCCAACGATTCGAAGCACTTGGACTTGACCAGCAGGACATGGTCCTGAAATTCAGCACATATAGAGAGTAAGATATAGTGGGGAGGGGTGTACGCTTTTGGTGGGTTCACGGACCTACATCACCAACCCTGGTTTGGTTCGAGGGGATCACGTTCACATAGTTGAGACGCCAACAAACCAGCAAAATGTTCACTTGGTAGATGGCCCAACATGCTGGGAAGTTGTCACTTCGAAGACACCTTCTGGGCTTGCGGGGTGGGCTGAGACAAGAAACATCAGTGGCGCGCCCCCATTATCCCACCATATATGTTGGGAAAGAGAAGGACGCGCCAACGATGTTGTTCGCTGACTCCGCCCACCTCGCAATTCCGAACGGTATCCTTGACGTCATACTGTAGAAGCATCAGTTTATTCAGCTTAGAGGCTCAGCTTGGATCGTAGGTTCTAAGTCAGAGTGGGTATGCGGCAATCCAATTGAGGAAGGCTGCTAGACCGCCGCGTTGGTGGGCGTGGCTAACGCCCAACAGCGGCGTTAACGGATGTGCTGTTCATGGCGCGACAAATTGTTGCAGAGCTCACGCACTTTGGAATGTGATCAGAGGGACGCCATGAACTAGAAATTCCCCTGCTCCACTTGAGACTCGTGGATGCGGTAGTGCTACTCCGAAACTGTCGCGTGACTCGTTGCCGGGACGTGGGCTTCGTGAGGGATCATAATCTTGGGTTAGTTAACTGACACGCCGGAGCAAGCTTGATCGGATCTGTTTTTCTAGTAGCTTCGCTCTTTCGCGTTGCATACTTTCGATCGCATTTATAAGAGTATAGTGTGTATTCATGGATGCATGGATCCGCTACAGACAGCGCGAGCGCGAATCCAATAAAAATCCCTTCATCTTTGTGTCACTTCGGTCCTGGTGGGTCTGCCGATCATCTTGCAGCGGCGCCCTCGCGGTGTCCCCGCAGTTTGGATGTAACGCCCCACACCAACTCAGTCCCGATCTTTGATGAAAGATAGATCACTACTGCCCAACAAAACGTAAGGTAGGGCTTTCTTAGGTTCTCATGAAAGTGTCTTGATGACAGGGCGGGTATTCAGTTAAGCGGGGTTTGTTAGGAAGTACAGAAGTTTCTCACCTGTGGCCGCGCTCTTGTTATTGGCGTTGTTGTTGTTATTATTGTTGTTGATGACACGATTTCTTGGATCAGGCCTTCTGACGGCGTTGTCACTGGTCGAACAACATTGGAACCGTTTAGTGGTCGTACTGCGAACGCATCGATATCCAGCAGGACAGGACGTCGTGCCGGCATTACTGCACTGCACAGGTGTACCAGTTGAAGGGAATAGCAGTGCAACGCCAGTGGGACAGCCGTGATTGGCCGCGAATGCAGAGCAGCAGTAGTAGTTCTTGCTGACTCTGGAAAACGTGCATTTGTAGCCGGATGGACATGGACTATTCGTGCAGAGTTTTGGTTTGCCATTGATAAGATAGGCAGAGCCTTTTTCGCAGACTTCTGGAGCTGATGTGGTCGCTGGAACGGGAGCGTCTGTTTCACTCTCAATTTCCGGGTCTGGACCAGGTGCGCCCGGCTCTGTGATTTTTGAGAATCGCGTCGGAGTTTCCGAGCCGCCGCCACCGCAGCAGATGTTCTGCTGGGCAGTTTCAGAGAACTGACAGCTGTAGCCGCGAGGACAAGAGTTCCTTGAGGACGGGTCGCAATAGCGGGCATTTGTGGTCTTTCTGTCGATGTACGGCGTCTGGCCGGCTATAGGGCAGGTGGTGATTTTCCGTGATTTCATCTTCTTCACACAAACACCGTCGACTTTCTCCTCTCCTGCGGGGCAGGCACAAACGCCACCGTCACATGTAGAACCGCCTTGGCACTGCTCGTCGGCCTCGCACGCCTCGTCAATTTCGACCTTGGGAAGACACGTGCCTTTCACGTCCACCTCGTTGTCACCGCAGGCGGCTTGACAGATACCATTCACGTAGTTCTGATTGTCTGGACATGCACAAACGCCAGCTCGGCAGATAGCGCTGGTTGGGCATTGCACCTGGTTGGTGCAGGATTCACCAATGGAGACACGGTTCAGACATTGACCATCAACAGCGACTTGTTTCTCCGAGCAGACTGAAACAAGAATTTTTGTCTTGAATTCAGATGAAAGCAAAATAAATCGCAATGGTTTGGAACAATTTGACGACATTGTATTCTTTTGTGTTTCCAAATTCGAGCGCGGGACGTGATGCACTTCACTAATACGATCCTGCTCGGTCTGTCTGAGTTTGAGGGCACATTCCGCGATAATCGGGTGGGCGGCGACTCGCAAATCCTGACCGGTCGTCGTCCTCATTGACGCGCTCCTCGCAGTTATCGTATTACTACGAGGAGAGACGGAGGAGGAACGACACGTTGGTTATGAGTCCACGCCCACGCGATTAGCGTGAAATGTGCTTTTGAGCTCATCTTCTCGTTATGCGCCACCCTTATAGTCGGTCAGCCAACGGTTAAGGAGGGTGTGAATCTTAGAGTGTGGTCGAGAGTCGTCGAATTCCCTACTCCAATGTCACCTCTTTTACTTCAAACTCATCCACACACTTATCTCTGACCATTACTCTCGCATGGGTGTAATTGAACAGGGTTCGTCTGCTTACAACGCTGCTTGAGTCCCCCAACCCTGCTGAAAGTGCTTTCTCCCTAGTTACTAGTGCTCCATTGCCCAAAATAAATCGTGTTACCCACCTTGTTCGTTTGTTGTGCAGCACAACTGCGCTCCAGTAAGACTGCGCTGGCACGAGTATCCCTTGGGGCAGCTGCTCTGTCCAATCGCACAGCTCTGCGCTTCACCGGTGATTCCAATGAAAGCCACTGAATCGTTCGGACATCCACCGGACATTCCACAACACTGGAACTGATTGTTGGCATTTGAGAACTGGCAGAAATAGCCCGTAGGACAGTTCTGTGAAGCGGCCGTGCAGATTCGTGGCTGATTCGTGGCCGCATCCCGATAGGCCACTTGGTTGTTCGGGCAGCCGAGTGCGGCGATGGATTTTGGAGTGGTGATTGGCGTTGAGCCACAACATTGATAGCGTTGATTAGCCAACGACCACTGGCAGGAGTAGCCATTCGGGCAGGGCGCGTTTGGTGGGTTGAATGGATCGCAAGCAGCGATTTGACCGTCCTTCATGTAGACAAACTCGTTTGGTGGGCAGCCGTCTGAAGCTGAACGATAAGTCAGAAAGTCAGTGAAAACTGTAGAATTGGGTAAAACCTTACCTGAAGCCGAAGCTACTTCTCCTTTGCAGCAGTAACCAGTAGTGAACTCGGTCTGTGTGCTCTGGCAGCTATAGCCGTTCGGACAGGTGATGAACGCTCCAACGGTACACGATCGTGGCATCTGAGTGCTCTCCTCCAAATGGAACTCGGCTTTGTTTGGACAAAGATGACTGGCTGAACAGCAGTATCCTTGGAACGCGCCAGGCACATCTGATTGGCACGTGTAACCAGTTGGGCACTGGTTGCTGCTACTGCTGATCGTGCATCTGGAATCGGAGATTCATGTGCACGGGTTCTGGGACGATCAATAATCAATCAATATGTCAACCACTGCTATTGTTCTCATTGTCAGAGAGTATTCGGCCCTACTCATCTTCTACTGTTCCGATCTCTCTCGTCAGAATTGGCCAAGACCTTAGCTTCTAGGTACCATA